GGAAAGAGGCTGAATGAACCGTAATCCTTCCTGCAGGCACAATGCGGGCTTGTCAGAGCACCTGCAGGGGTTGGCCCACCTCTGAGCTAGACACCACCATCACATTTTCCTCTATTTAAATCCTTACAGTAATAATTAACACATTTTGAGAACCCTTGTGTCCCAGGCACTTTTCTACTTTTTACGTTGTCCCATTTAATCATAAAAACTCTATGAGGTAGATAATATTAATATCTCCATTTACCAATGGAAAACAGAAAATATGTTACCTACCATATAGTTAGTAAATGTCAGAGCCAGGAGTCTGACACCTGAGCTCAATTCCTTTAATCACTGTATACCGTTGATCCCACAAGGTAACTATAATCACCACTTTGTAGATGAGGAAACAGAAGCTCCAATTTGATTAACTTGCCAGAGCTTATTTCCTGCATTCCCCTTGTTCATTCACTCAGTCTAGGCCCTCTCTGTGTCAGGCCCTGGGCTGGGCAATGGTGGGCCCAGATATACTGGGCCCACTTCTGGGGCCTTGAAGTCTAGAGGGAAGGTGTCTTACTCTAAAAACCACTTTTCCTGACTTTGAATTCTTCCAACCCTGTCCTTTAAGGTCCTAAAGCAAGTGAATGATTAATAAAATTTTACTAAAAGAACCTCCTCCATTTAGTTTCAAAAACTAAATTTAGGTTTTCTATCATGGGGCTTTGCATCATCCTCTTTGTTTAGTTCCAACCCACAGATGCCTGCTTCTGGCCCTTGTTCCCTGTCTTGAGCTTTTTTCCTGGTCCCACATCTTTACTCTCCCTGCTCATCTGGCTTGGAATGCTTCTTTTCCTCCATCTCAGCAAACTCTACCCTTCCAGTAAAGGTAATGATTAGCATGACACTTTAGTAAGTTAGGAATGCATATGGTAATTTCTAGAGCGATCACTAAAATAATAGAAAAAAATAATTTAATCTCCAAATTGATACAGGAGGAAAAATGAAATAATCCAGAATGCGGGAAAGGAGATTTAAATGACCAATAAGCACGTGAAAAGATGGTCACCATCATTAGTCATTGGGGAAACGTATATGGAGACCACATGAGATGACATTTTACACCCTCCAGGATGGCTATAATTACAAAAATATATAAATAACAAGTGTTAGCAGCGATATGGAGAAACTGGAACCCTCATATATTGCTGGTGAGAATGTAAAATGGTACAGCCACTTTGTAAAAAGAGTTTGGCAGTTCCTCGAAAAGTTAAACATAGTTACCACATGACCTTGCAAATCTACTCCTAGATATAAACACAAGAGAACTGTAAACATGTCCATGATAAATTTGTACACGAATGTTCGTAGCAGCATCATTCATAGTAGCTAGCCATAAGGTAGAAGTAATTCAAATGTCATTCAACACATGAATGTATAAACAAAAATGAAATATTCGTAAAATGGAATATTATTCAATCATAAAAAGGAATGAAGTACTGATACATGCTTCAACATAGATGAACCTTGAAAACATTATGCTAAATGAAAGATGTCAGACACAAAGGCCACATATTATATGATTCCATTTATATGAAAAGTCCAGAATAGGCAAATCCACTGAGAGAAAGTAGATTAGTAGTTGCCAAGGGCTGGGGAAGGGAGAAATGGGGAATGACTGCTAATGGGTCTGGGGTTTCTATTTGGGGTCATAAAAATGTTCTGGAATCAGATATTGGTGATGGTTGCACAACCTTGTGAAGATACTAAAAACCTTTGAATTGTACAATTTAAACAGTGAATTTATTATGTGTGACTTATCATGTTATGTGACTTATATCTCAACTTTAAAAAAAAATCTAGCAAAGAGCTGGGCCTCAATAAATGGCAGTTATTACTACAAAAGTAGATAAGTAAATAAAGAAAAAGAGGAGTCCAGTCAAGATGGCGAAGTAGAATCTTAAAAATAAAGAAAGAAAACAGCCACCCTCATAAACCAATAGAAGTGAGGAAAGTGAGATAGAGGACAAATAAATGAGAGACAGGAATAGAACTAGTAGGACAAGTAGAAAGAATAAAATATTAGATAAAATCCTGAATATATTGGAAAATTCATTAAATTCAAGAACTAAATGCTCTAGTTAAAAGTCAAAGGTATTCACACAAGATTTATAAAAATTTAATTGTATGCTACTTACAAACATCACTATTCACTATCAAGTTATAGGAAAAGAGGAAAGAAATCAACATTTACTGAATGCTTACTATGTGCCAAAAATGTGCCCAGTCTAGTCCTTTGCAAATTCCATTATCTTATTTGACCTTCACAACCACCTTATAAAATAGGAATAGTGTGCCTATTTTATAGACAAGAAAACTGGGGCACAGAACAATTAAATAATTTATGCAAGGTCTAAAAAAGCTAGTAAATCTGGCACTTGAACTTAGCTATCTGACTCCAACTCAACAGTTTCACTTTTACTTTTCTACTTAAGAAAATAATTCACTCATTCATGTGTCAAACATTTAATGTGCACCTATACTGTCTATTTGGCCTTAGGAAAACCAGAACAAATAAGTAGAGGAAAGGGGTTTAATTGAGTTTAAGGATTTGAAGGTGAGAAATCGAAGGTTCAGGAGGGCAGTGAGGAAGCTATTGTAACTATCCAGAGAGAACTAAGGACTTTTTGATGCAGAGCTTAGGTAAGGGAGGGTGGAGGAGAAGGAGAGATATTTGGGTGGAAGGGTTGGGGGAAGGTGGCTGGAGTCAGATGTAAAAACTGTTTTACTATTTGACACTTTATATATATATTTTTTTATTCTTTCAATCATCTACTAAGCACCCACAAGTACCAGGTTTCTCCTATACATTATCTTATTTCATCTTTATGACAAATTATTACTCCACTTTTTGACAAATTAATCAATTATCTCTAATCCCTCACCACCACTGAAAACCCACAGGGATATAAGATCACCTACTTTGGGGCAGCACCCATTTCAATTTTGCGTTGATGCCCCAGGAAGAGGTGGTGGTGGAACAGTCATCCAAATACGTTTTATGAGCCCAGTCCCTGCTATTCCGTGTAGGATGCTCAGTCACTAGGTCTAGTTTCTACAACATGCTCAACCCTTCCTTTTGTAATATCGCTCTTCTGCACTAGGCCTGGCCCAGGTAAGAGGTGGTGGGTAGGAACACCACTGTTAAAGAAAAAAAACAAACTATAGGCTCAAAATGGCATCACTCATGCCAAAAGCCCATGATACCAAACCTAGATTTAATACCTTATCTAACTGCACTTTCAACCTCTCCCAGAAACATAATCTTAATCAACCAGTATAAAATTTTCCGGTCAGGCATCAGTACGGTAATCTCACAAAGACCCTCTCCATCCTCCATAAAAAGAAGCAATCTACATGTTAAAAACCTGTCATCTTCTCTTCCCCGGAAAAAAAGATGTGAGTCCTCCAAATAATACTTTCTTTTTCTAATAACTCCCTTGCCCCACCCTTCTTCCTGGAAAATCCTTTCATTTTGTACAACCCCTCATGTTCCCTTCCAGCTGCTAGTTGGGTTGCTTCCAGATTTATGAATCGTTTAATAAAGCCAATTAGATCTTCAAATTGACTTGGTTGAATTTTATTTTTTAACATCAAGATGCAGAAAATGCAGCTCTGACTTCCAAGAGCCCAGGCACAGAAGACATGAAAGTAATAGATTACAAAGTGATATGGTTGTAATAGAGGCCTGCCCAAGCATTAACCCCACTTGCTGAGAGAGATCTGCAAATACACCCCAGAGAGGGCGGGAACATTTGAACCAGGGCTTTAAGAAGGACGGGTCTGGGAGCGGGTGTTCGTAAAGGGTAGGTTGGCAAGAAGTTCCAAGAATCCTCATTTGTACCAAGTCCTGTGCTTAGCCGGAAATTCCCTTAGGGCATTTCTGATGTTCATAACGTCTATCCTAGGGATTTGGAACGGGAAAAGGTGTTAGGGCTGGCATGGGTCAGGAGACAAGGAGGCCAGGTTTTAAGGCCTCCAAGCAGCTGCAGACAAGCTACGTGGACAACCACCCACGAGGGCCCTCCAGCACCGCACGTGGTCTGGTCAGGAAGTGAGGGCAGGACGACCGGGAAGCCTTCCCATCACCGCCCGCAGACTGGGGCAAGGTAAGGGTAGAATAGTTACCACGCCATCCTGGAGCCTTTCCTCTGATTGGCCCGAGCTTCAGCAGCCCGGGGCTCTGCGCTCGAACAAAAGGGGCGGAGCCTTAGTATAGCGTCACCACTCTTCTCCCACACCCCGCCCGATGTAGCCATTCATCGGCCCACTTCGAGGGGCCCTGTGTGACGTCACGAATCTCTTCCAGCCAACCGCAGCAGCCAAAGACGGGACTCCATTTCCCTCCCACTGCCCCACCGCTTTCCTTCCCCCTAACTCCTTATGTCCCTCCTCTTCCCCTTCGCCCCTTCTCCCGAAGTCCGCCCTCACGTTCGGTTTCAAAAGACTCATTGCCCAATGAGTAACAGGGTGGGCCTAGAGTGGCGGCGGCGTCTGCCAATGCGCAGGCAGCGAGGGCGGAGCACCCAGAGCGAGCCTCTGACGGCGGGCGGCGTGTGACGCAGTCGGGCCCACTGCGCGCTGCGCCCGAAGCGGCGGTCGGTATCGGTGGCGGCGGCGGCGACGGTTTCGTGGTGGCCGCGCG